ATAGATGCTTTCAGCGTGCAGTCACCCAGTTTTTACAACTCCATGTGATAGTGTCTGGACTGATCCTTTTCTTCTGAAGAGAGTTTATAGAAATGCTCTCCAGAATAAAGAGGACACTGTCCAATTCAGCAGTATTTATTAAGGATGCAAGGGAAGGCTTCAGGCAGGACAGTGCAGCAGTTGCAGTTCTTTTATTTGGCATCTTTGAATTATTTTCCTGAGACGAGAATCTCAAGTGTTGTGACTTTGCTGGCAAAAAATAATTTCCTAGCTTGAGGAAGGGAATCATTGGTGCCAAAACCCCCGAGTGACCTGTTACACCTCTGTAGCTGATGGCAGGCTGCCATTTTCCGTGAGAGCAAAATGGTGTTGGCTTGTGAAACTGCACAATTCAATCCTTTTATATGGTGACCTCATACAAAGGAGGAAAATATCATTATAGGAAGAAAAAAAAATGCTATGGAAGAATGAATCCTGTGTTTAATAGAATGTGCTCTTTTAAAGAAATGTTCTCCGCAGAGTATTTTAAAACGCTTCTCCTTTGCTATATCCCCTGTCTGTTCCTTCTTGGCATCCAGGAGCAGCTACTCTGGCTCTGCTCACAATCTCACCATTGTGGGTCTTAAAGTCTCTCCTGAGGAGAAAAATGCCATCTGAAAGGGTCTTCTTGTGCTCTTCTGCCTGATAGGCTTTTCATTTGCTTTCAAATATCTGATCAAAACTTCTTCCCTCCTTCCCTTCATTCTTCACTGTCACCAGTGAAAGAATAATTTATATAAGAACTTACTGAAGTATTCTGAGATTCTCAATTCTGGAATTATTATGCCTAACTGTAATGGGCTGCCTGGCAATTTTTGCAATCTTTAGACTTTTGCCCCGCTATGTTCCCTTCTACAATGTGTCACCTTCAGTGGTGATTGGTCACTTTCAAAAGGAGATGAAAAATCTAACTATCAAACAATAGTAAAAATAATCCAATTTCTTCAACTGAATTCTAATGTCTGCTGCACCACATAAGCACCCAGGATAGGAAATAAAATAAAGGTAGAGAATGAGAAACACTACTGAGAACATGTATAGCACCTGCCTTGCAGTCAGCAAGACTCAAGGAGACTCAGGAGTAGCATTTCTGAAAAATTTTCAGATTAGAGCAGCAGTTACAACTGTACTTTGAAATAAAGACTTGCACTGAATGGTTTTGAGCAGCATAGAAGCGGCAGCATCTGCAAGAATAATGCCACCATCTTTATCAATAGCCATTGTTTATTGCATTTACCTATTGCTGTTCTGCTGTGATTACGGCTGACAAGGGAAAAATAGAAATTCTTCCAGAAATATAAAACCTAATTCACTCCAGAAACTGGGTTTATTCTGTGAGAAAAAAAAATTACCTCTGATAACCTTAGCATCCAGACTGGGACACCTTCACATAAACAGTTACCAACTTTGAAGTATCACCAGTGTACAAAGTACACTGAAGTACTTTAAGATAGAGAAGGGGATTTGCAGACCTCATTGCTACATAAGACTAAGTGGGACATTTACACTGATGCAGCAATAAAAGCACATTTCCAGTGACATCACCAAATTCATAAGCACAGCTATGATCAATGTGCTCTAGAAATAACACCTACCATAAAGAAAATGGTCAGGAAGGGAAAACTAGCTCTACTTTCCCTAGCCATGCATTCAACATTTTTGACGAAGCATCTTTTTCTCAGATGTTTTCTGGAGAGCATTTCCACTTCCTTTTCTTGAGGGGAGGGTTCAGAAGAAGCAAGAGGTAGTGTTCCACACTTCAGCCACAGAAATTGAAATATTGTAGAAGATAAAAGCATAATGGTAAAACTATAAAAGACACTAGGAATCTCAGAAATGCATATAGTCACAGCTGCTATTTTCTATTTCTGTCTAAATTTTATGTGACACTCTTCCACAAAAGGAATATAAGGTATGCTTTTGTCCTACCAAGTACATGAGGAGAAATTTTATACATATCCCACTAATTTATGAGAGTAGGACAAGTCTGACACTATACAAAAACAAAACTGGAAGACCAAAAGAATGGTCAGGTTCAGAGGACAGATCATTAATCATCTTTTTGGGTAGGTGATGCAGTATAAATCATGTTTAAAAGAATAATTAAAAAAAAATGTATTTCAGGACAGTTATTTCCAGAAACTCCGGATGGAATAGCCATTAATTGCAGTGTTAGAATTAGATGCTCAATAGTGACAAAGGTAAGAGAACTTTTTTCCCTGTCAGGTAACTCCAGAGTTAAAACTTTAACAACTGCATTACATTTAAAATTCAATACAACCAGATAAACAAACTAAATTGTTGTACAATATTATTCTTTCCGTGCATGCATGATCAAGTGTACATTAAAGACTAGCACTTAAAAAATTATCCAGTGAATTCCATTTGCCTTTTCCTCAGTGCCTGAGAGGCACACAAAATAGCAGCAGCTATTCTTTACTTACACATATTTATGTTTGTCCTTTCTCTAGGATTTGAAAGACCACCAAGATAGTTTCTTATCTTTAGCCCAAGTCCTTTGCTATATTAAAGCTAGGTATTTTGTCAAAGAGCAGTTTTCTCTGCTTCAAAAGAATTTTTTTGATTTTTATTTTGCTCTGTAATCTCAATAAGAGATTGTAAGGAAAATCCTTACAATTTATGTATCCTGGTGCTTTTTTCCTTGTGTCAGAGCTGGCAAGATTCCTTGCAATCATGTGCAGCAGGACTGGAATGCTGCAATCATGAAGAAGGAATTCAGTATTAAATGTGGTCATTCTCAGACAGAGGAGAACTGGCCACAACACACTTTGCAGAAAAGCATACTTTGCAGAAAAGAGAATTTTGGTATCAGTTTCTATTATTTAGGTGTTAATTCAACTCATAATTCAGACACATCCTTAACAGTTATCACAGGAGTTGTCCTGGGCAGGTTTAAAAGGACTGCTCAACTTCCTCTGTCTAGATATATACCTTATGAAGAACCTGAGATAACTGTTGTGTTATCTGCTTATCAACAGGATTATGAACTCTCACAAAAAGGCTCCTTGAGAAACTGATTCAGTGGAAGGTCGAGCAGGCCCTAGGCACACTACTGAGCCATTTGGGTAAACCCTGATCCCAACAAGAAAACACAGAAACTGTTTCAAGTGCTCTGCTGAGGCATGACCTAAACACAACAGGACTTATAACAGAGGTTGCTATATAGATAGATAGAGACAGAGATAAAATAGTTTGATAATGTTGGGTGCTTAAAGCTGAAAAGCTCCACAAAGCATTAGGAAAGTATACAATACGTCCCATTATTTTGTTGTCTCAAAAAAATCCAAAGTACCAGAAATTTGAAAGTATATTCTTAGATGAGCTGTTTTAAGAAAGATACTTTGGTTTGCTTCCATAGCAGTTTATGTAATTACATAGTGAGGGGTATATAAAAGTCCCGAATAAAACAAATGAAATGGGGGAATCCTTGTTTTATCTGCTATCCTTTCTCACAGAAGAAGCTCATTACACTGCATAGTGCTCTACTGTTGTATTTAGCTACCTTCACCCTTCCAGCTCATGAGCCTGAAGCTTACAAAGGCTGATGTTCAAAGGCTGCTGGGATGGGTGACATCGACGACCAGACACCTTTTCTCCTATATGGTTAGCAACAGAAATGAAACCATCTCCCTCAAATGGGACAGCTACTTGAGGGGTCTCAATCTATGGCTAACAGGAGACAACAGAGATTGTGCAATGAGTAAATGGATCTAATAATTTACCTGCCTATCTCAGAGATTTATCAGTTCTTTTACTGATAAACTTATTTCTGAATACTTATTTCTGAACTTATTTCTCTCGAGTACAGAGAGAGCATGCAGTCAAAATTTTCAGTGATATCTGTACCAGAGTTCTCGTCTCCACTGCACAAACATTCCTCACTTTACATTCATGCAAATATTTTTTTTTTACTATATCTAAGATGTTTGAAGTGATGTTTACAACCAGTGCAGTTCTGCCAATGCCAGCAGACTACATGCTTACTCACTAAGGAATTTCCTGAGCATGAAAAAGCTGCAAGGGAAGGTTCTATAGTGGGACAGATCCATGGAGTGGGTTGTGCTGAGGGTGAGGAAGATGAAATACTGGCAAGTCAGCATCACTGCACAGCTCCTGACAAATAAGCAGTAGCAGATCTTGATCTCAGTTTACCTTTACATGCCAGGCTAAAATGGGCCAGGCACAGATTTATGTGCACACCACATGTACCTGATTAGCAGCGTCTCTGAGAGGGCCAGGGGAAGCAGCTGGGGCTGGTAACAGCTTCACTCATTCAATTTTAATTGACTGCTGTGTATTTGTCAGATCCCTCAGAGCTGCCTCCCTTCTGTTTAACTTGTGCCAAAAGCTGTGCTGGTCCGATTAACCACAGGGAACAAACAAGAAAGAAGTACCTGTCAGCTGCAGGTACAGAACAAGCTCTATACTGATGTCTAAATTACATTTTAGATACAATCTGCACTGAATTCCAAGATCATAGACAAATGAGCACCATTCAAGCTGCAAACACAGCCAAATTAAACCTATTTATACAATTATGCATTAAAGGATGATTTGATTTAGAAATTTCTTAATTTTCATATTCCGTGTTTGTATTTAGTGTCTAGATGCCTCTCAAAGAACCCTAAGGAAATGCCCATGTGTTTCACAGAGATCAAGACTACACCACTAGCTGATTACTGAACAACTATGATACAGTGTTTAAATGGTATGCAATCAATCAAACTATTCCAAAGAAAATGCACAATGATTTACAACAGTATTTTATGCATTTTTTTCATTTTGTAACAGTAACAAATGACTTAAGTGAAAGCTTTAGTAAAATAGTCCAGGCATGTATCTATGATGACTCTTTTAAGTTTTTTAAAGCACACATAAATAATTGTTGATGATAAATAGCAGACAGCAACAGTGCTAGAAAAAGAGTTTATAAATCTTACCTCTGCTTTTATTTTATTGTCTCCAAAACAGAGGTGTTGTAAGTAGGCTGCAGCATTTGACTGTACTGAGGGAAATTGATGCTGTAACATCTGTATAACTTCTGGAAGCTCTGGATCCCGCCATCCAAACTCTCTGTGCGAAAGCAAATATAAAAGATTCATCAAAAGATCTGCTATTAGTGGATAAATGTGCCAACACTTAGGTCAACAAAGAAGACAGAAATGTCTAAATAAAATATTTTTTGTCCAATTATTATCAAAGCGAACATTAAAATCAAATATGAACCTATTTGGCATTTTAAACTGTACTCCTCTGGAAAAAGAATTATAGAAAGTATAACCAGAAGAAGTAACATTGTGGAATTAGTTCTTTAATTGATTAAGTTTTCTAAATAAAAAGGCTATATGAAATCTTAATATAAGAAAAGAAAGAAAATACATGCTCATATCACCACAAATGGTTTGCTATGAAATGCTAATTTGTAAAAAAGTAGTTTTTACTTATTGCTATCTCTATGCAATACCAATTGCTATCTTACGTTGAAAGCAATGACCAATTCTGTCTTTTGTTTGGGTTTTTTTTTTTTCCCAGATACAGTCAACGTAAAACTCTTACATATTTCTGGCCCTACTTGAGCACTCAAGTCTTTGCACTTTACTTTAATCCTACAAAATATGAAATGCCATTAGCATCACATAAAAGAATGAATTCAAGGATGCTGAACAAGTCCCGGTATGTATTATCCAGCTTCCAGACCTGAACTTAAAATAAATCTGTCACTTTGGGTGAATTTTTCCCCTCTGGGTTTACGTATAAAATCATTAATGGAAATGGCTTTGGACTTCGTGTCCCTAAAACCAGAGATACACACAGCCTCTCTACATGATATACTTAGTTATCATATGCCTGTTCCCCAAGAGCTTATTTTTTGTGCCATATAAATTAGTGGTACATTTTTAAGCTAAAAGAGGGAAATTAGGGAAATTACAAAAAAGAGGTAACTTACAAAAGAGTTCTCTGTTGCTGTTACTATGATCATTGTCAAAAAAAAAAAAACAAAAACCCTGGTAGACCTGTTTCACACTCCAGCTATAATATTTGGACAAAATAATCCTGATCACCAGTCTCCTTCCTAAATTATAAGGACTTTTCTGCACTGAGGCCAAGTATATGTCACTAGAGGAATTCACAGCATCTCTCCAATCTGTCCCAAGCACACTTTAAATACAACAATTCTCCACAACAGTTCAGGGAAGGAAGACTTATTTTACAGAATGAATTGCTACAGAAAAGAGGGATTGTCTGTTTTCTTCTCATACGTGATGTTTGTCAGATTGAGAGTTGTCACTACAGTTATATCTTTATGGAGATTCAGAATATGAATATGAGATATAAAAAAACACTCAGAATTTCATTGGTTATTTGTCCTCTGACAAAATATAAGTTAATTCACAAATATTAGAATTCACATTAAACATTTAATACAAAGAAACCATAAAGATGTAGTAATAAATCACATATGGACTATTTGAATTAATTTTTAGATAACACAGACTGTTGGAAATCTCTGCAAGAGACATCTTCATAGGTTCAAGAAGATTTTAACATTTAATTGATATTTAGAGAAGTTAGAGAACATTGTAAAAGGTATCAGGAAAGGCTACAAACATCAGTAGCCGAAGATTGTGAACATCAGACTTCCAGCTTACCATGACTGTCAACTGGTGAAAAGGAAGTGATTCACTGGGTGCACTTTTTTTATGTTTGAATTGCTAGAGATCATAGAAACAATGTTATCTGACAGGATAGCTTCCTCTTACATTTGTTTCTTTCGATAAACAATATTAACACTTCTCAACAGGTTCTTCAAACCTATTAGACCTGCATTCTATAGAAACAGCTCTAAACAAACCAAAGACATCTTCCAAATTTTTTGTTTAAACAAAAATAAGAAATGAAAGCAAAATCTAATAACCTAAGTGAAGACAAATTAAAACCTAAGTGAAGACAAATTATTTATCCTATCTCCATTTCTAATTTATTCTCATTTTCAATCCTATATGCCAAATGCAGGTGTGAGTATTTTGGAGCTCACACAAAATATCAGTAGAAAACAGCTTGAACGACAAGACTACACTACATGTTGACATGTGGGAACTTCTACCGATAAATTTTCTTGGAAATTTCCTCCTTTTCAACATGCATGCTACCTAATCCATCCAAAACCAAACGAAACAAACAAACAAAAAAAACATTATATGCAGTAGTACATTATGGGCTCTAACCATCTGCTCAGGTTTTTTTTCCCCACGTTCTGGAATCCAGAACAGAACAGTCAATGAAGGAGCAAAAGGAAAAAGGTCCCTTCATCAAAGGAATAGTTAATTGTTCTGAGGAATTTGAAGTCTCTGCCTGAAGTCTCTACATCTGAAGTCTCTTTGCTTAAGTGAAAACTTTGTTTTCACTTAAGTATGAAAACAAGGCTTTCCCTACTTTTACCCTCTGATCTCCCAAAGCAGTCAGCATGTGAGTGAGGTATGAATAGTTGTTGCAAATGGATATGTGCACATTGGATGCAAGTAGAAAATCAATTCAGAATAGAAGCCCTTAGCACTGAATACTGAGTTTGTTAAGTAACCAGTTTTTGGAGAGATAATGAAGAAATCAGGAAAAGAAGTTTAAAAATTTATCCCTAGTATGCACTGTCATTTTAAGCAGATGGTCTCTAAGATTGTTGTATTTCTAGTAGTTTCTAAATGAAATACAGTAGCCACATAAAACAAACAGTTAGGGCTGCCTGGATAATTGTGATGATTTTAGCTGCCTTCAGGGCAAGAAAGAGTAGTTTCCAGGAGTCTAAATTTTTCATTTGACTTATATAGGTGCTTTATAGGTGGAAAAAAGTGATAATGAGAAAGGATTTTTCTTTTAAGAACATCAATTTTGCAGCTCTATTATAATTTATTTAAAAATCTTAAATATGGGTGGGTTTTTTTTTTTTAATTTAGCCTTATTATGAAAAGTCAGAAAGGCTACTTAATGAAGTCATCTGGCAGACGCCTGGAGAAGGAAGGAGGACTGGTATTCCTTAAAGACAAAGGCACAAAATGTATGTGGAACAATTTGCATAGACGTGGGGGAACATCCAGGCCATGCCTCCAAACATACATACCTAAATGACAGAAAATATGTATTAAAATACAGAGCCAAACAAAAAGTAACAACTAGTAGGAAAGAGCTAGAATTAAGTGATCTTTTACTCCCTACCAACAAAAAGCAGTAAAGTCAGTATTTGACATAGATAAGATTAAAAGAAAGTAGAAGGTAAATGAAAATCCAATCTACCTGATTTCTGTGAAACATCTGATACTGTGCCACATGCAAATTGACAAAACTCACATTTAGTAAAATTATAAAGTGGAATTAAGCGGAATTTGAAATCACAGTGAACATCCTAAACAAACACTATCTAAGCCTATGTCCCTAATTAAAACATCACCATGCTTGCAAAATCTGAGTGAGGCAATCCACACAGATGGTGAAACAAGCTGAAAGTCTGGAGTAAATCTGAGGAGGTGCATGGCATTTTGAGAATGTTAACGAAGTATCTGTATGGTTGATCCAAAAATGAAGAGTAATGTAGTAGCTGTACATGCAAGATCTTTTGCTAATCTTGCCTGATTTCCTTGGAATAAGAACACTAATCCACTTAGGTCAGCCAAAGGCTTCAGGTGGCAGTGTGAGTTTGTCCACAAGAGAATTCCAGCTGTGCAAGAACTTCACAGTTTGTCTGGAAAGCAGCATTTGCCATGGACTCAAAATATTTTGGCAGGTTGTGAAAGTACATTTTTTCTAGGAAGCATCCTCATCTGTGGAGACTGACTGGAACACACCAATGTGTTCTAACTTTCCTTCTTTGATGGAAACTGCCCTCTAGCATTGTGGGATTGATCTAATTTTGAATCCTGCAGAAGGTTTTAGCTTGAAGTGGTGACTAAGACAGATGTTCCATGGATTACACCAGACTACTGCTCCTGCAGTGGAAGAGGATCCAAAGGGGAACTCAAAGCTCTACGTAAACTGGCAATATATATATGCCTAGAGTTACCACAAAAAGCTACATCGTACTATGAACAACGGAAGAGAATCAACAAGGTGTTCTACACAAGACACAACTCTGACATAGAAGCAGTAGCATCTAGAAATCCAGGCTGACTTGGGTAGTGCAAGTAAGGCACTGATAACAAGTCCTGCTCCTGCTACCGTATCACACACATGTGCCAAGAAGTAAAAGGGATGCAAACTTAAAAGAGATTGTTTGCAATACATCTGGGTGCACTGGCTCTGTGGGTTCACTTAGAGGTGCTGTTGAACACAGAGGATGTACTGCATCTGAATATTTGCTTCAATTATGCCAGAATTTTCTTCTTCAGCTACTGAAAATGTTGATGGTACAGAGAAAAGCAAAACTAAAGATCCTGTTACATATATATCTGCACTGATTTTAAAAAGGCTACTGAGTTTTCAAAACACAGGTCTCCAGCTGGTAACTAAGGATACTGATTGCTTCTACAAAGCATTGGAAGAACAGGTGTGATGGCTCTGTCTACTCTCCAGCCATTGGTCACAGTGAATCTCACGAGAGCTTGGGTTCTTATTTCTGATTTATATTATTAGAGCAGAACATTCACATCTGATCAGCCAGTTTGCACAGGCAAGCACTGACACCCAGAGCTATTCCTGTCTTGGCAGCATTCCCCAAAGGCAGCGCTGTGAAGACGCCCGCTATAAAGAACCATATGCTTGACAGAGAATGAACTACCACCAAGCATTTACCAAAGAAAGAGAATGCACAATTTTTTATTACAAGACTGCTTAAACCAAACTCATCTCCGTGTTCCTGGCTGTCTTAATATGCATGTGAAATAGTCTTACGGAAAGGTTTTCACACATGAAGTGGTGCTCAAAGGCAAAGGCAATTCAATCCGAGCTAAGAATATTTCCTCAATTTTTACCTCACATACATTGTGCATTGCTAACGCCAGTCTAAAAGACTTCCTGTTGAATTTATGCCTACAGGCATAGACCCTTCTCTTTGTTTCTTCCCTCAATTCAATAAATAAAGTCTGAAA